GTAAAAGTGTATATATCTCAAGAATCGACTTGAAATTTAAGAAGAGTCATGATCCAAAATGTTGACAACAGAATGTTAAAATTATTGTATCATATCATTTAAGATGTAATGTAAAAGTGTATATATCCCAAGAATCGACTTGAAATTTAAGAAGAGTCATAAATTCAAAATATTGACACCGGTCTTAAAATTATTGTATCATATCATTTCAGATGTAATGTAAAAGTGTATATATCCCAAGAATCGACTTGAAATTTAAGAAGAGTCCAAAATGTTGACAACAGAATGTTAAAATTATTGTATCATATCATTTCAGATGTAATATAAAAGTGTATATATCCCAAGAATCGACTTGAAATTTAAGAAGAGTCCAAAATGTTGATAACAGAATGTTAAAATTATTGTATCATTTCAGATGTAATGTAAAAATGTATATATCTCAAGAATCGACTTGAAATTTAATAAGAGTCCAAAATGTTGACAACAGAATGTTAAAATTATTGTATCAGATGTAATGTAAAAATGTATATATCCCAAGAATCGACTTGAAATTTAAGAAGAGTCATGAATCCAAAATGTTGACAACAGAATGTTAAAATTATTGTATCATATCACTTCGGATTCATCGCTCTTGTTAAATTTCGAAATGCTTTTACCGATTTCCTCTTAGAATTCTTCCATACGAGATTAATAAATATTGTATGTTCAAATTATAACAACTTGCACGAATTATTCCTTAAACCTAAAGTTTTGAAATAGAACTTGAAACTTCAGAGTTTCGACACTTGGAGTTGCTCATTCCCGGTTAATTTGCAGGGGAACAACCGGGTAATTTGGGTAATTATTCAACTTGCTTCTCACCTGTACGAATCAGGCATGCTGGGTATTCCGGGGTAAACGGCGGTGGGCGCGAAACCATGATGTATCCTAGGTGGAGAGGGCGGCGCTTGCGGCGGTGGTTGACCAGCCAAAATACCCGAGGCCGGTGGTGGTGTCGGATGACCAGCGGTGACCAGACTCACCCCTCCGGCGTGCTGCTGCTGCTGTTGGGACTGTTGTTGCTGCTGCTGTTGCTGCTGCTGCTGCTGTTGCTGTTGCTGCTGCTGCTGCTGTTGCTGTTGCTGCTGCTGCTGCTGCTGCTGCTGCGACTGCTGGTGTTGCGGGTTGTCCCTCCGTTGCGTGCGCAATTTCTCTTCGCGCCGCCACTTCGCCCGCCGATTCGAAAACCATACCTGAGTTAGTGAACGAGAAGACAGACGAAGATACAGGTCAATCGCTAGGCTACAGGTTCTCCGTTTAATTTCGGTTGTTTTTCCGACTTTTTTCTCTTTTGTTTCTAATTTTCTAATTTATCCCCCTCTCTCTCACTCTCTCTTTATTTTTCAGCAAAAACAACTTTGTTCCCGCGCGATATCGATCCGAGGATTGATCGACAATCAGCTGATTGTTTTTTGTTTTTTATTCAACAGATGTTGTCAACACGAAGATGTATTATTTGAAATAAGTTTCGAATTAATTATTATGATTCGATGTATTAATTTTAAACGAGAATTCTTATATTGTGAAGCTTATTACAAGTTTAATGGATTTTTGTGCGATTCGTAAAAACGGATTTTTGGACACGAATTCTACAATTGTTTTCAATATATCATCGAAATATATAATAATGATTTGAAACAAGTTTGTATATATTTGGTGAATTTAAATTATATTTTGCGTATCGATTACAATTGTAGGGAGAAAAGAATATTCAGAAGGAAATATTTTACAAAGATGAATACGTACGAATAGGCGATTCACCCGTGATTGTTATAAAAGAAATGAATAAATAAAAAAACGAAAGAGAAGAAGGAAAGAAGGGAAGCGGTAATCGCGGCGAGTATTTCACGCTTGGAAGCTTAAAATAATGAATGTATATGCGTATAAAATATAATAGCCACCTGTATTCGAGCTTCAGGCAGACCAATCTTTCCGGCCAATCTCTCCCTTGCGAAAACGTCTGGATAATGCGTCCTCTCGAATTCCTTCTCGAGCGCGTCGATTTGCTCGTTACTGAAACTCGTGCGATTCCTTTGAAGCTTCCTTTTTAAGCGAAGACGCGCCTGATCATCGTCCGTGCCCCCGGACACGCTCCCTGCGTTGCTGTTGTCACCGCCGCTGTTCGTCTCGTCCGAGTGTGCACCGCCCTCGAGTTCCGCTACTACGAAACGAAAAGAGCAGAACAATTGATATTTTTTTAAAACTTTTGACTCTTTCGTTCGAGCAAGGAAGGAAGTATCGGGTGAAGAAAGTTATTTTATATAAAATCGGAGAATTTAAGAAAAAGAAAAAAAAAGATAGGGAGGAGAATTGGAAAATTCGCAGAAAATTTTTTTAAGATAAAGAAATATGTACGATTGATTCGTTAACTTATGAATTGAATTATGAAAATTATTAGAAGTTTCATAATATAGTGATTAGAAAAATATGATACGATGATTCTTGTAACTTTTTTTGAATCCTTTCTTGTGCTTTATCCCCACAAAAATCTCCCGTTTCAAATATAGTTTAATTATAAATAATTGATAAATGAAACAACGAACGGAATTACGGAAATTGCTCGATTTAAATTAATTCAAACAAAACACGGTATATTCGTTTTATTGTATTTTAAATAGCTTATCCATTAATTCTTCCCGTAATTCCGTAATCGTAATTTTTACTTCCTCATCAAAAGGAAAAATCTCTTTGAACGATTACAACGAATTCCATCTATCTTAATATATACGATTCCTCTTCGATCCAAACTCATGCTTTTTAAAAAAAAAAAATAATCACGATAAATATTTCTTTCTTTTTCTCTTAAGATTGGTTTAAAATTTCCAAAAGAAAAAAAATATCAATAACAATTATTTTTGAATCGCTCGAAAAACTTTGTCACCGATCCCACTCCGAAATTTTCAAACTCACCCTCGTCCCTTCCAAAAAAAAGAGAAAATCCCGCGAATTACGAAAAAATCCTTAGATAGATTGGCTTCGAAACTCGATCGATCCTAGAGAGACGCCTCGAGTTTTTACTGACCCTGCTCTCCCCCCATTCTTTTCCTTTTCCTTTTTCAACGGTCGTCGACAGAGAGACAAAGAGAGAGACCCTTCGTCACTTTTCTTACATAAATATCCCACGTGCGTGCACGAATCTCGTGCATATACATATACATATATACATACATACATATATATATATATATATATATATATATATACATATGCACGTGTATATATACACACGGTGAGGGAGGGGGCACAAGGGGGTGGATTCGGAGGCGGCGGTGGTAGGCAGGCGTTGCTGGGTGAACCTTATCGTCGGTTTCTGGGTGAGCGCGCCGAGGCGTCACTGGGTTTTGGCTCGACGAGAACGAGAACTGCTTGCCGCGCGGGGGAGGAGGGGGGAAAAGCTGGTGGAATGGCCAGGATAGGGGGAGGAGGGTGTAGATTCGAAGGGGGATGCCACGATAAGACGTGGAGCGTCCCGACGCGACGCCAGCGTCCCCCTCCTCCCCGCAGCGACGATACGCCGCCTCTGTCATCCGTGGAAAGTGCCACCCTTCTGCTCCCCTCTCTCTCCCTCCCCCATTCCTCGTTCCCGGCTATTGCTACCGTTTTTCTTCCTCCTCCTCCTCCTCCTCCTCCTCCTCCTTTTTTCTCCCCCTATCTTTCACCTTCTCCCTTTAATTTTCACCTCCAACGTTTTCACTCTTCTTTGTCTCACCCTTCTCTCTCTCTTTATAGGTAATCTTCGTTTCTCTCTCGCGCTCCGCCAAACGCTCCTTCCACGCGTTAATGGAAACCTGATAACAACTTCTCGATAGAGTCTCTTACCCTTCCACCCTTTGGCTTTGCGCTTCTTCCCTCCTACCTTCGCCTTGGTGCTTCTCCCCATCTTCCATCCTCATCTTTCTTATTGCAAGGTGACAGGTGGAGAAGGCAGATGTTAAGTGGTTGAGTTTGACGGCAGACCGTTTCGACCGTCTTTTTGTCGTGAGTAGACTCGATTTTTCGAAAATTCGAAAGCACAGGGAAGATGTGTGTGATATGTTTGAATCGTGTTGGAAGGAAAGGGTGTTGGAATATATTGTTACAATCACGAATATCGTGAATCATAATATTCTGAACTCTCGTTAATTGGCATTTTCAAGCCAGTTAAATCGATTACAACCTTTGAACTTTACTATAATAGATACTTGTCTAATGTTATATAAGAAAAACAGGATAGAACACGTAATAATAAAAGTATTGGTAGGTTTCCTCGGCAATGAATAATAATTATTCTTTGAAAAGATAAAAAAAAAAAAATGAATATTAGATAGAAAAGCGAGAGATGTATATTTCGCACATGGTCGAAAGGAAATGACGAATAAATGGATTATCCATCTTTAAAAGTCATCGAAACGAGCGTTCATTGTTCCACGGTCGGTGATGTATTATACCTCGCGTCGTAAAGGGGAGGCGATGGTTTTCATAATGATACCGAGCGAGAGAGAACTCGAGAGATAATCCGCGCCCTCCCTCCTTTCGTGGATGCGGTTAAGGTTCATCGTGGATGCTGGCAAGGAGCCCAGCACTAAACTTCGAATCGGAGGGCTGTTACACCCAAGTTTCCACTACAGGATGTAGAATCCAGAACAATGTGCAACTTCTCCTCCTCCTCCTCCTCCTCCTCTTCGTCCCTCGCTATCCTCCTCTCGTTGCCTGTAGCTTCCGCCTCCGGTTAGTTCTACTTTTTCCCTTCGTCTCTCTTCTTTCTTTCTTTTCTCTCTCTCTTTCTCTCTCTCTATTTTTTTTTCTACTCCTCTCGCAGTTTACACTTCGTTTGTCCTAGTTTCCCTCGTTTTTATCCAGCCGATTGTTTCTCTCGATTATTCTGCGTTTCTTTTTTCCTCTCTCTTTCTCTCTTTTTGTTTTATTATTTTTTATTCTTTTTTATTCTTTCGGCTCGTGTTTTGCGAATTTTCGAGCTTGAGATTTTGCTTTTTTATTTTTTTTTTTTTTTTCTTCTCCTTCTCCTCCTCCTTCTCTATGTCCCTCGCTATCCTCCTCTCGTTGCCTGTAGCTTCCGCCTCCGGTTAGTTCTCCTTTTTCCCTTCGTCTCTCTTCTTTCTTTCTTTTCTCTCTCTCTTTCTCTCTTTTTGTTTTATTATTTTTTATTCTTTTTTTTTCTTTCGGCTGGTGTTTTGGGGATTTTCGGGCTTGAGATTTTGCTTTTTTATTTTTTTTTTTTTTTTCGAATATCGTTGGTGTATGTATTTAAGCGATAATCTTTTGTATTTCTGTGAATTATACAGTTTAAGATTACAGAAAAATTACGGAAAAAGAAAATTTGAAAGAGAATTTGAAGAGATAAATATAGAGAGGAAAAATATAATTTTCAATTTTTTGTTTTAATAATAAAGTTAATTCATTGATGTATAATTTTGTAACACGTTAATATCGTTAATTTTTTTTAGAGGATTAGTAGTATTTTAATTAGAAGAGAGGATGGTTACGCGTTAGTAGAAGCACGAAGATGAAGTCGGCCATCGCGCTTGAGCGGGCTTAAACTCGGGTTGGTGGATAATACGTTGAACAACGATACGAGAGATTTGGTTGGGGCGAAAGACTAAGAGAAGCTGGATGGATGGGACGGATTCCCCTCCACCAACGTTACACTCTTCTTCTCGCTTCCAACATCTGTCGCTGAATCTTTCCTTTCTCGAGACATCGGGAATATTACGCAAAATGAAAAAAATTATTTCCATTCTCTAAACTTTTAAATATCTCGACACGATTCAAATGTATAGTATATAATATACGTGAAACGTAATAATATTAAACAATTTTCCGCTTAATTCAATGGTTAATTCGATCTATTTAGAAATTGTATTTATTATTGTATAATAATATAATATAAATATAAATTTAAAAGCACAAAATTAGATAAATTTAACTTTACATCACATGGCAGCAGATCATTGCAAAATCACGAGTGAAAAATTTTCTTGTGAAAAGAAAGTAAAAAATTTTCTCATCAAAAAGTAAACGAAACCATTGAAATTAGTTTTTGTTTTATTCCGATATCTTAATCCGTTACCAAGATATAACGATTCAAAGTTTAAGATGGTGTTAATATTATGAATGGATTCCGCGATTCAATGATATATCTTTTTCTGGAAACGCGTAATACGTTTTTTATGTTTTTTTTTTTATGTCTGCCACTTGTCCGAAACTTGGGATAGGTCAATGAAACGAGATGCGAACGAGAGGCCCGAGAAGATAGCAAACGATAAAAAATTACACTTTTCTTTACACGACGATATCTCGGAAACCGGAAGTCGTATCGACATAAACGAAAAAGCGTTTTAATGAGCAAGGTTCCACGCTTCCAACGATCG